TCCCAAACGGCACATTCGACCTGAGTACCGACGGCACCGGCGGGATGATCGTGGACTCCGGGACCACCTTCACCATCCTCGCGGAAAGCGGTTTCAGGGAGGTCGTCGACCACGTGGCGCAGGTGCTTGGCCAGCCGCCAGTGAACGCCTCCAGCCTGGAAAGCCCTTGCTTCCCAGCTCCGGCCGGTGAGCCGTTTTTGCCAGACTTGGTGCTGCACTTTGCCGGCGGTGCGGATATGAGGCTGCATAGGGACAACTACATGTCCTACAACCAAGAGGACTCGTCCTTATGTTTGAACATCGCCGGGACGACGCATGAGTCCACGTCCGTGCTGGGCAACTTCCAGCAGCAGAATATACAGATGCTGTTCGACATGACCGTAGGGCAGCTGTCATTCCGGCCCACCGACTGCAGTATGCTCTGAAGATTGAATCAACCATTTATATGCTGAACAGTGGATATCCTTCATGCTTTGACTTCTGGCCCATGTGATCAACGAAACAGTGAATATCGATCCTTCAGATTTGGTCAATGTGTTTGTGCAAAGTCCCGTTGAAGAATACTCTTTTGGCCCAAAGTTTTCAGTCATTCTATCAACGATTTGCTCGTAAGAGGTAGATTATGCAGTGATTCTGCCGGGTTTGAGGTCCATTTGTTAATGTGTAACTTCGTCAACAATTTGGCACATGGAAATTAAAAAGAAGAACATGTTTCCTTCATTTACTTCCACTAGTATAAGAAAATTAATACTAGCTAAGGTATATAGTCTACCTGTTATATAACCAGGCTCCAACTCGGAATTGCAGAAAGACCGCTATCAGGCCTTGACCTGCATTCTGGATGGTCAGTCTGGTTATAAGGGTCCCGTAGCATGCATTTAAGCCAGCAATTTACAGCAGAGAAAAGCTGCACCATGTTAAACATATCAAGTTCGAAATATTAAACTGATCGATAAAATGTCAATCTGGGAGCAACCTATCAAGTACTGTACCTAATCATCTATGTGGAGCAAAATAGCATCTAGTCATCTATACAACACACCACTTTCCTTTTGAACATGTTAAACAATGTTGAAATAGCATAGCCTAGTCTTGTGAATGATGATGAGATTAGTCAAATATATCTGTTTATATTGGAACTAGATTAGAGTAGTACATATTTATTTGTAGACTGAGCAAACCAACTGCGGTATAGCCTTCTTAGTCGTTGCAAAGTCCTTTTCCATCACTCATTTTCGACTCGAGTGTATGATAAATAGCCGGATAGCCTGGTTTCTCTCTAAAGTCGCTCGAGTTTTGTTCACTAAACTGGCCTGTGAGAACTGAGAAGCACTCCGCCTTCGGGATAAGCAGGTTGAAGCCGATGGCTGGCCTACTTGAAGTTTAGAGATGGGATGTGAAATGTTAAAGTACAACGAGAGACAATATTTAGATTGGCACCAAAAAACTTGATTTAATTCAGGCGTGAAGTTTTCACATAAGTTTTTTGGTTTTTCAAGCTTATAACACCATTAACCCATTTTATGTTTTCCTTTCAGGAGGCGGGACGTCCTCTTGATTGAGGTTTTCTCCGTGATGATTTTGCTCGGGAAATCTTTTCCGACCCACAGTTGGCATCTTTCCTGCCGAGCTGCACCTCGGCGTTGTCAAAATGTACATGATAGTTTAACTAGTTCCCGAGAAGATATGATCCTAGGGTCGGCCATATTGCCCAACCCAAGTCTCGGGGGGTACTGCATTGACGATTCAATGCAAATAATTTAAAAAGTACAAGACAGTTTTCGTGGAGATTACGATCCTCAGGTTGGTCGGCCGCACTCAACCTGTGTCTGGAGGACTATGCACATTGTGTTTTTGTTCCTAAGTATGTTGTCGAGCTAGGAGTTGATCTTCAGCCTGATTTCGCGAATCGACCTGAGTCTCAGGGGCTACCGGGATCAGTGGTTTTGTTTTATCCTTCAGGCGCACCCCGGAGTTTAGGCCGACACGCACCATGAGGGCTACTGGTTATACATCTCGGCAGAGAATAAATTGAACCAATGAAAAAAATCCACAAAAAATAAGCTCACGGCCGAGGTGGTGCACCATCTCGGAAACAGACCAGCATAAATCTCGGATGCAAGTGGTTGGCTCCATAGAAGGCATTTCTGGCATTAAGCTCGGCTGAACTCCTCCAACTTTTTCAATCCAAGGTGATCTATGACACCTCAGATGCATATATGCGTTGGAGCTCGGCTGCAAACATACACCTCGGATGCAGTCTGACGTTGGAGCACGGATGTAAGAGGGAACACCGTGGCACGGGAAAAACTATAAACCATAGATGTGGCATAAATGCAACAAGGCATTGATAAAGGCCGAGAACTTAAAGGGGGTCCTCGGGTGCCCGACGTGTGAACTCTTCGGATGCACCTCGGCGATCCTCAAGATCAGAGATGGGAAGAATTTGCTGAACCAGCTTTCAAGACTGGTCGCCGAAGATGAAGAACAACTTGAAAGAAACGAGCAAGCGTCCCCAACTTGAAGACGGGTTAAGAGGGCTACTAACGGTGTCCTGGACTAGGGGGTACTCACCACATCGTCTCCCGACCAGGTGGGTCGGGCCGAGGACCCCCATGGCGGTTCACTAATGGGCCAGTTCGGGCAACCCATTAGTGATCAAGACAAGGACTCCTCTCCACTGACGTAGCCAACTAGCACTCTTTTTAACCTAGGCTTCCGGTACATTATATAGGCCGAGGCCAGGCTAGTCGATAGAGGATGACCATCCATACACCCATTCATACATTCATCATACCCCTAGGGTTTAGACCACGACTCACGATAGATCGACTCTGTACCTTGATACTTCCATAATATAAGCACGAGCATGACGTAGGGTTTTACCTTCATAGAGAGGGCCCGAACCTGGGTAAACTTCGTGTGTGTTCTTTCTTGTTACCCATCGATCCGATCTAACAGATCAGGAGCCCTACCCGAGATCTGTCGGTATTGACACCGGCATTGGTCACTTGGATCCATCCACTTTAATCTAACCTGTGTTACATTACTGCAAAAAAAGAAACTGGTTGGAACTACCAGGTAAAACAAATTGCTCGGTAGTATTAGAGTAAATATAGTAGCTCTCAAACGAAGTTATAGAAATGCCAAAGTCACAGTTCGAAGGTAGAGGAAGAATTTGCTTGGGAGTATCAGACCTATATCACAATTAGATAAAGAACACTTGGAAGTGCCAAAAACAAACAGTTATGCTCGGGGGTGCCAGAGATAAGAGAGATGGTTTCAAAGGAAACTTGACTCGAAGGAACAAAAGGATTGGTAGTTCTGACGATACACATAAATGGCTTTCCTCCTAGGGCTATTGTGGTAATTTCATCGAATAATGAACCATCCAGTTGGCTATAATCAAAATAGATATAGGGATATCAGGTGAGACTACTCTACAACCACCTTAAGAGTTGTAGAATATATATTTTGAAACATTTTATGGTCTATCACCAGACAACTCTGACTTCGACTGTGGTCCTTCCATGTGTCGCCGTGTGCTTTAATTTTCCCCGACATGTTATTCCTCCCCACCACCATGAGTTTTCTTTCTGACTACCATGAATTTTCTTCCATGATGTTTTGGGACCAAGGGCATGTCCTTTGTTCGTCTCGAAAAAATTGGATTCTAGTTAGGCTGAATTTTAAAGAAGAAGAAAGAAAATCAAATTTTCGGTTGGGTGTGGTTTTTTGGATGGACCAGTAGGGTTGCTCTCATATTTAGTGTTCTTACCCACCGCGGTGAGTTTTCTTCCCAATCTTTGGGATTGAGAATCTGTCTCTGGTTAAGAAAAAAGGGCACTAAAGTGGTATTGGGTATTGTCAGTGCGGGTTTAGATTATTTGCGCCTTTTTATGGCCTCTTTGATTTAAAGGATTTTCATATGAATGGTGGAGGGTTATGATTTTTTTATGTTTGTTTTCGATCCATAGGATTGAATCATGCGGATTTTTTAATAAGAAACCCACAACACTACGTTTCAAAGGAAATTTTGCAGCCACTCCCTAATCTAAAGAATCCTTTGTGCACGGGAGTGGTGGCGGACGGACCGGCGGGCCGGAGTTCGTGCCGGCGGAGGATGGAGGTGGAGACGGAGGGTCGGAGTCGAACAGACGGGCGCGCTCGCTCGCATCTGGCTGGTGCCGGAGCCAGGCCTCGGACCAGACAACTCTGGCAGATCGCTACGCTGACACTGTTGTTAGGGTTTGCTACTCCTTTCTTTCTTTTTACCTTTAAACAAAGGAGAAGGAATTACTGAGCTTTGATGGGCAAACTAAACTAGCTAGCGTGAAGAATCAAAGACAGCAGCACGCAAGAGCATCTGAATCATCATCTTTAGAGAAAGCAAAAGCAGATCGGGGCATATATACGTTGCTTCATGCTTTGGCAAATAGAAAAGAGGGAATGCAGCTAGCTGGAGGCAAACGGCCCAGCAGCAACCAGAGCATAGTATGGAGACAACACGCAACGGATCTTGCTCTCTTCAGTTAGTTACACAGAGGAGGAGCCAACTTGCTGCTGCTGCTGCCTGAAGCTTCTGACTGAAAAGCCTCCTACTCCTGCATGCACTTGTGCTCTGGTCTTGGGGTGGATTAGCAACAGCCACAGTAGAAGATTTTAATGTAAACACTTGTGTTCTCGCGAGCTGCTGTTATCGGCCATCAAGGTACCCGCTGTTAAATTGGCTTCATTTATACTCTCCAGCTATATTTTTGCCAAAAATCGCATGTGACTAAGCAGCACTTCCGATTTAATTTATTAGCAGTGGCCAAGCACAGACAGATGCAACATGATGTCATTGTTATTGTGATGAATGCAGGTGGTTTGGCGAGTGAACTTCCGACCGATGGGTTAGACCGGTTGACTTTGATCCGAGTCCTCATCGGTTGAGATTGATTACTTAAATTTCCAACTGATTTTCTCCATTATATTGGTCTCTGACAGAGGAATTCGTCATGAATGAACCCATCGACTGGGTATTCTTCGTGCATATTACATTCACAAATTAAAGTAGCGCATGCATGCATTTTGTTTTGAGTCTTTCATGGTTGTGTATGGCATACTTTTTTTTTGCGTAATCCCGAATCGTGCTTCATATGGAGCTGCTAGAGCGCTATTTGTGGCTTTCTCACTGATAGCAAGGGGCATTTTCGGTGGTGTAATGGCTTTGACTACTATATACTCCTAGCTAGCAAGAAGCGCTTGATCAGGCTGGGGAACGCTGGGTATTACATTCACTTCACTCTGATGTGTAAATAGCAGTCATAGAAAATCTCTCTCGGCTAGAGGTGTATATTGAAAAAAAAAATGGTGATGCAAGTTAATTTCTGGGTTTCTCTGAGCGTACAAGTTTAGCTCCTGCATGCGGCGCACCAAAGTTACTTTGTTTAAAGGCAATGGCAACCCCACGAGGAAAGATGACAGACCCACATGCAGACTGTACGTACAAAGATTGAAACTCAGCAAACCATAGGCACCATTATCATGATAGCCGCCAATAGGTAGACTGGATTCCGTAGACAATTAATTGTGGACTGGCCGTAAGTGGTAGATGTGATCCAAATGAGTGTTGTAATACCAATTCTGTTGGATTTGACCCAAGATCGTAAACACATGCTCACGCGAAACACAGCACGCTGGAAAATCTTTGGCCAAAGGCATGTCTGGTGCCTTTCTTTTCTTTCTATTTATTCCTCAAAGCTCACAACCTGGTACAAACTAGGGCCGCACTCATGTGCTTATAAATATATACACACGTACAACTAGTGCCTAATCGACCGTGACTTCCAGACTGAAGCCACTCCTACTCAACTAAGACCACCTCAACTCAGCATCTAATCGAGATTATTCCAACAAATTTGCTTGTCAGACAGGCGTCATTGGTATATGTTAAATTAGTGTTGCAGCTACCAAAGGCGTTCTCACTTATTCACGTGTTTTATTTCAGTCAGTCTATGCCCAAGATGTTGACGAAGCCACAGAGGGAATATTCAAAGTTATTCAGCTCAAGTATAACTGGAGGGTCATATGTTTTGATAGTTGGAATGGATTTGGAGCATCCGCTGTTCTTGGATCAGTAGCTGCAGTGCTTCCATCTAGGAGAACCACTCTGGAACCTCTTGACAAAATAATCTTTGTAGATTGCTCAAAGTGGAAAAATAGAAGAGGAGTGCAGAGGGCAATTGCAGAGGAACTACAACTTGATCGCTCTGTAATGGCTATTCTAGATGAGCAAGATGAAGATGATGATTTTTGGGGACATGGTGAAAGCTCGAGGATTGAGATATATAGTGTTAGTCAAGTAATTCATCGGATCCTGAGGAATGTCAAATTTATAATGATTTTTCTTAATGGGAGTGATGACGAAGTTGACGTAGGTCTCATGGGTATTCCTCTAGGAAGGTATTATGAAAACAGCATGATGATATGGGCCTTCAGCAGAAGCCGCCTGATGATGCTTGACGACCATTCCGAGGTAGCAAAAAAGCTAAGATATACTCAGGTTTTCTGTCATTGCTCTATCAAAGACATGAGAAGCTCTCAGTTTCGTGGACTGCTACATCAAGAAGCTGCTACCATCGTTGCTCGCAACCCATGTATGATGGACATTGACCCAACAATTGTTGCAGATTGCTGTCTCTATGAGTTATTCCTGCACTATAATTTCCACACCTTCAGTAAACTTGGTTGGGTTTCTCATGCTTCCAACTATTGGATATGCAACGCAACCATACAAGGGGACAGAGCAAGGGATATCAGTAATGCATTGCATCGAGAGATAAATTGGAAGTGTGACACTTTTCTGCTTGACCATGTTCTTAAAATGTTCATGAAACATTCGGAGCCTCCTTTTTTGGTAATTAAAGATGATGATGTCTATGAAGAAGGCCCATACAATTGGATTTCGGTCACGTCAAGAGATGCAGAAGTACATGGTATGAAGACAATACCTGCAACGGCATCATCTTTCTTCTTGGCATTTGAAATATCCAAACACCCACCAGCTTTACCAGATGGATTTTTTGATCATTGCAGCAAGCTCGGCGTGCTGGTTCTCTACTGTTGTTCCTTCAGTTTTGCTTCACCTTCTTTCCTGGAGTGTCGTGGCCTAAGATTCCTTGGACTGGACCATTGTACAGATGACAAAACTATTGGAGGAGAGAATCATGCAGTTTGGTTAAGTCTGTATAGCTTGTGGGTGCTGGACCTGCGTTACACCGATTGGAATGAAATCTTATCCAAGGAAATGTTAAATCTCATGAAAAATATCAGAGAGTTAAATATAGAGGGAGTCAGGGGCTGGCAATACACTACTGAGCTACAAGGGCGATTACCTAACCTCCAGAGGCTCAGAATAATGAAACCGACGTGTCAATGGGAGACCACAGAGGATGTCGATAACTCCTTTACGGATAAGAAAAGTATAGAAATACTTGACTTGTCTGGCAATTGTGACATGAAAATTCTTCCACCAAGCCTATCGAAGGCAACTAGCCTCCGGTTGCTTGTACTTGATGGTTGTGATGGACTAGAAAGCATTGGTAGGCTCCCTCCCTCCCTTGAATCATTTAGCTTCAATGGATATGGGCCAGCTTCTCAATGGACAGAAACTGCTGAGCTACCTTCAAAACAATTTCTTCCATCCAGCAGAACAGATAATAAGGATGTCAGAATATCCAAGATCTCCTTAGCAGGCTGCACCCAGTTGGGGAATTTGTACTTGTGTTGGCTACCCAACCTAGTGGAATTGGACCTCTCTGGAACATCAATCAAGATATTTGACTTCAAGACTATGGTGGTGCAAATCCCAAGGCTCAAGCGGCTGTTTCTAATAGGATGCAAGCACCTTCGTGCAATAACCTTTTTGCACGAGAGTGTTCCTGACCTGGAGTTGCTGTGTGTAGACACACGAGCTGGAATCGTGTGTCCTCTTCGGCCATCCATCAGCAAAAACAAACCTTTCAGGTTGCAGGTGCATGGTGTTGTTGTAGATGCAAGGCTTACTCACTCCTTGTCGAATCTGATCTTTAATTATATACAAGGTGATGTGCACTTTAATATCCATGTCACATCCTCACCTATGTATGACGGGGTTATTCAATTTGAAGCAACCAGCAAGGATATGATTGGCCCCAGTGATCAAGAGAGCCTGCAACTTATTCCAACAGGCCGGTACAGTGATGTCCTTGGGATGGTTGGCGTTGTCCCAGTGCAGGCCTTTCCACAGCCTCCGACTACAAAGTTTGATCGACATGTAGAGATTGCTGATGGGAGCTTCTATGTGGAGAGAGAACTTGACGAAGCACTAGGCGAACTGATGGAAAAGCGTGCAGAATCCCTGCATGTGCATGATGTCTTGGTACATGCTATTCTGCCTAAATACAGATCGTGGATGAAGCTTAGGTGGTGCTGCGTGGAGAGGTGCCCAAAAGTGGATACTGTCTTCCCTGGGAATCCATACAGATTTACTGCATTGGAGACCTTCTGGGTGTCAGATGTCCTAATGGCCCGCTCGATTTTTAGTAAAGGTTCACGCTTTAACCGATATGGTGAGATTGGATCCTTCAAAAATTTACAGCACCTTCAGCTGCGTTCATGCCCCAGCCTCCAGTTTGTGCTCCCTCTCTGGGTCTCCTCCTTCCCCAGCTTGGAGACCCTCCACATCATCCACTGCGGCGACCTCAACCACATCTTCATACTGGACGAAGAGTACCCTGAAGAAATAACTAGCCACGGTGTACTATTCCCGAAGCTGACCGCCATCCACATGCACGACCTACCGAAGCTGCAGGAGATATGCGAGGTCAAGATGGTGGCCCCAATGCTTGAGAGCCTCAAGATCAGGGGATGCTGGAGCCTGCGCCGGCTGCCATCCGTGGGTGCCCGTGGCCAAGGCGAGAAGAAGCCGACGGTCGAGATCGAGAAGGACGTGTGCGACGCTCTAGAGTGGGATGCCGGTCACCACCCTGACCACTTCGAGGCACCGGTCCACTCGCGCTACTACAAGGAGAAGCTGCCCAGGGTCTCAGTGCTCAGGTGCTAATTATACATGCAAATGACTTCTGAGTCCATCTGTCACTGCTCCTGATTGCATTCAGTTACTGACCATCTTGTTTCACCATGTGTCTCATGTATGTCGCCTAGGTGAACTCTGCATTGTGGTGTTTCCCCATTCGCTACCTGAGAGTGATGGACGCTGCTGCTGCTGGATCGTGCGTTTGGTTTGCTTTGTGTGCCTTCTTGGATTGGTATTGGCCTTATTAGGTGCGAGCTTATGGTGGCTGTCACCGTTTATTATATTGTGGATTTCAAATAAGAGACGGACGGGTTTGAGCCTGCCTACACAGACCTGGACGGTGTGTCTGCGCGTGGCTTGAGATTCGACTGGGTTGCTGTGGACGCATGCGTGCATCCACCAGTCTGCATTTGTGTGTGTGGCTTTGATGAACGCTTGCTATGCGTGTGTGTGTGTGTGGCATTGTAACAGATGCCTATGTATGCCATGTATCTGAACTGAACCAAGAAACAGCTCGGCTGGTTGTGTGTGTGCTTGTGCATGCATTGACTTGTTTGCTGCCCGTGTGTTTTGTTTGCTTCTGAAAATGAGAAAAGGCTGCAGCTATCTGTGCTGGTTGTTACAATAGTCCGCCTCTGTGTGTGAGTGTAAATCATCAGCCTGGCTGTGAAAATTGTGCAATTATGTTATTTACATTGAGACTAGTGATTATTAGGAACAAATTGCTGCGATCACATGTTTTGATCTTACCGACAAGGAATTCTACGGCTGCTATCTAAGACAAGATTCTGAGTATGAATGCCTACTAGTAATTCAGCATCCAACTTGTATGCCAATAATAGAAACTAGGCGGTGGCAGAGTTCATAATTGTGGCAACAATTCACTAGTAACATCTCTCTGAACATAACTCGGCACTGCAGCGCAATAGTAAAACAATAGAGCAATGGTAACTAGGAGAAGTAAACAAAGTTGGCGACAAATTAGGTGATGATATTTTAGGTACTTCAGAGTTATCTGCCAGTGAACCAATTAATCTCACTCTCATTTGGTACTCGATTTTTCAGAAACAGATCACTGAAGCTTCTCACTCATATGCATCCAGCAAAGGAAAATGAAAAGATGACTAAATCAACTAGGCATAACACAGGTGTGCAACGTAATATTCTGAAATACTGAAAAGTATATTTGTATTTGGATATGGAAAGTCCTTTTACACAAAAAAAATTTGAACCCCCTCAATGCCAAAAGGACATTGTACAGAGTTGCGCTAGTGCGCGAGGACAGGTATTGGCACCATGGCATGACGCCGACCTTCTCAAGAGTACCCCTAAATCTATCAGTCCAAAGATAAAGTAATGAACAATATTTTGTAAGGTTCTCAGCATGTAGAATGCCAACAGAAGGAACTACTACTCCAATTTAGCAACATGGCAACGATTTGCTAGAGCACATAACTAATCACGGCAACCAAAATTCTCATACACCAGCATCATCAGAACTAGTACCCAAAAAGGTAATCTCTCACACAGCCTGCTGCATACGGCGCAGCAAGTCGAGGATCGGACTGGAAGGCTCAACCTCGGTAGCCAGCTCTTTCGCCATCACCCCGGCGGCCAACAAGTCCTGCTGCAGCTCCGCATTCGGCACGACGTGGGAGAAATGCTGGTCCAGCACCAGCCCCATGGCCCTGGGCCCTGGCCACCACCACAAGCGACGGAAGGCTCTCACACTGCTTTAGCCCCAGCATTCGCTTCGCCTCCAGGAACCTGCAGTACTTCCCTACCCACTTGGCGAGGTACCTCAGCAGGCTGGCCACCTCCCCGCCGTCGTCCAGCTCGGACACAACGGCGGCGAGGACCAGCAAGTCCTCAACGTTCCTCAACCGAAGAGGCAGTGCAGGCACGCCTCCGGGGAGGTGAACCCATCATGCACACCAACTCGGCGTAGGCGGAGAGTACTCTGTTCTTTCTCTTGCTCTGCTGTCTTGTGTTTGTTTTGCTTAGTATACTCTCTTTTTTTTTGAGAATCCATAGTACTTTGCTTTGCAGGATTTGGATCGAGTGAGCCAGCAAACGATGTTGACAATTTTGTGCCACGTCGGCGCTTAAAGTGTTGGTTTTTTGCAATTCGCTCGTCGTGGGCCATCATGAGCAGCATCGCGGCCCGTTCCATAAAATCTATTGAGCGATTCATATGTTCAGAAACTGTCAGCCTGTACCGATGTTTGTTGTCTGACACTGATTACAGATTACCGATGCAAGTGCTATTTCAAAAAGCTTCTGATTGCTAATGATATTAATGTAACCGAGAGTGACAGAACAGGTATTTAGTGCCAAGAAGGCAACAGTTTGCTAGCAAGAGATCACTGTTGGCATTACGCACTCCACGGATGTATTTCATGACGTGCTTGAACTGAACCTGACCGAGCTCTCATATTTCTGAATGGTAAACTGACTGTAATGTTAAACTGAATGAGAATATTTATGAATACAGCATAGCATAAATATATGCATGCATACTGGGATCATGACGGGTCTCTCCAGAGCTCAAGAGATCATGACTTCTGTCACAATATCTCATATGTTTTCAGGTGTGTAGTCATGTACATTCATCACTGTTCCGCTAGATAAAGATGTGCATGCCTAGATGGTTATCGAGGAGAAAACAGCAACATCCTCGTTTTTTTGGCTGGATTTGAAGCGTCTGGAAATAGGGGATTGTTGATGCTTGCATTGATGCTTTTTTGAAATGTTGGATGACTTTAAATATATATATATATATATATATATATATATATATATATATATATATATATATATATATATATATATATATATAATCAGGAGTGCTTTCAGAAGTTCAAAATTGCAAGACCCAGTCTCAATTTCAATGTTTCTGAATGGTTGTTGCAAAAACAAAACCATAGGAAAAATATTTTTAACAACAATATAATGTTGTTAGATTAATTGTTGTTCAAGATTGAACTCGGAGAGTGCAAATCCGTGTTGAATATTTTAGACTGAAGGAGTGCTGCTAAACTTAGGAATTAGGAGGAGACAGAGACATCTCTAACCACACAGAACACCAAGGAAAATCTGTAGTGTTTGCAGGAAGAGAATGAACCCTCTTTAAGAAAAGCAAAACTATCAAACCTGTAGGAGCAGCTGCACATCTCAATCATCTTTCTAAAAGAAAAAGAAAAAGGAAAAGGAAAAGAAAAAGGAAAGCAAAAACAAAGCAGCAGCATACATATGTTGCTTCATGCTTTGGCAAAGCGAAAAGGGGGAAGCCAGAAGAGGTATCAAGCAAGGAATCATCCACTCGTTAGTTGCTTTGGCCTGTCTGCACACTCCTGCAGTAGCAGTTTGACGATCCAGGAAGCAGATCGATCGGAGTGCCTCAAAATTTCCAATCTCGAGCTTCTCTGTCATTTCGAGTTTCCGGTCTGCTGTCTACTGTTGAGGTACGCATGTACTCCTCCATCTCAAAATGCTACAAAAACATCTTACATTTTGAGACGGAGGTAGTAATAGCTAGCCACTAACAAACAATTGCATTTGCTGGCTTGCTTTCTTCGTGCCCACTAACAAACCCTAAAAGAAAGATTGCGTATATATATTTAGTGCTGGTCAACAATGGTGAAGCACAAAATTAACATGCTGTGCTTGTGTTTCTAGGGGCTGCCAAGATCTTGAACCGATGGGTTAGACTGATCAAATCTGTGGCTGATTTTCTCTCTTGGTCTTCGACAGAGGAATTCATTCTAACAATCTGAGTAATACCCATCATGTGAAGATGGATTAAGTTCTGCTGCTACTCTTGTCGCTTGGTCCTGGACGGAGGAATTCGTCATGAGTATACTCGTCTGACGATTGGTTAACTTTGTTGCTGCTTTTCCTTCTTGGTGTGGGACAGACCATGAGTTCTATTCAAAAAAAGGTAAACGTTCTTCTGCATTTTACGTTCACAAAGTACTAGAAATAGAGGTGCTTGATAAGGATGTGGAGTCGGAAAATGCAGTCCCCATGTGCACACTAGTTTTATAAAATGCCTGGTATTACAATCACTCCACTTTGAAATGAATTATTGCTCGACATACAGACATACTGTGTAATGTATAAACATGAGCGGTCACACAGATGTACTAAAATCTCTCTCAGCTACAGGCCTAGAATTATATATTAATTTTAGAAGGGTCTTAAAAAAATAGGTATGTCTGGAATTCATGTAAGAGCAGGACTGATCTCACATTTTACAGTTGGTTTTTTTGTATCTAGTGGCACTCAATGATTGTGTAGTGAAGAAGGCAAAAGAAATGTGTGATTATTGTTTTTTAGTTTCTAGTGGCATACTAATTTGAAAATTCTCGGTTAAATTGCAATATATAGCTGGGCAAACTCATTCATTTCTTTGATATGTGCTGTTGATTTGATTCAAATGATTGTTCAAATACCAACTCGCCCGTCTCCCGCGACGTGCCCCGCGCGCGCGTCTCGGGAGATTTAGATCGGCCTCGTGCGACTCCCGCTCGTCAACGTCTCCTTCCCCTCGCCGCCGCCGGAGTACGCCCGCCGGGCGAATCCCGTGCGGCGCGGGCGGCGGCGGGGCACTCCCTCCTTCCTCTGGTCCTCGTGGCGGCGGCGCGGGTCGGCTGTTCAGGGACAAGGAGCGCATCGTCCGGTTGGTCTCCCACAGGCAGGGACGGCTGGATCCGGCGGTGGCTGGGCTAGGAGGAGGTGGCGCGGTGCGGCGGCGTTGATGGCGGGGTTTCGGTCGGGGTCGTCTTCGATCTCGATCGGGATCTCCATCAGGGGCGTCGCATGGCGGTGGCGTGACCGGATCGGCAGCGGCGTCACTGGTTTAGCAGCGGGCACCGCTCGGATCCGGCCAACCACGAGATCGGGATGACGTGGCTTTCGGTGAAAATCGCGCCTGACTGCGGTCATGGCGGACGATGGCGGCATCTCGGAAGTCATTCCCTTCTCGAGCATCGTCGTTGCAGGTCACGTCAACCTGATCGGAAGGTTCCGGGGGAAACCCTAGATCTGGATCTACTGGATCGGATGATGGCGACGTTTCGATGTCGTTCTCCCTCCTGGGGGCATCGTTTTGGAGCAAGTGTTGGCTGGAGGGGATAAGAGGAGGAGCGGCGTGGTATCTGACACGTCGACACCGGCGGGTCTCGGCGACATGGAGCAGTGGGGTCTCGCTGGTGGGCGTGTGATGATGGACGAGCGTAGGATGGTGGCGTTGTCTGGCGTCGTGGTGGCCTCGACGGCAGCTAGACTCGGCAAGGTATATGCAGCACTACATCACTAAAGATGGATTAGTGGCAGGTGGCTGCGGCGGCCTCATACCCGGCAGGCGTCCAGGTTGAAGAGTGCGTCGGACTGGTGGGTGCCCCATACCCGGCAGGCGTCTGGTTGGGACCTCAGGTCTTAGATGTTAGGTTTGGCTGCGAGGTTTGTTTGGTATTAGGCCCAGACTATCAGCATCCCTTCATCAACTGGATAGGAGTAGCAACAGATGTTGCCTAGACAGTGGCTTTAGTCTTACTTTTGTATGACTTTGTAAGGTCTTGTGTTAATAATTAATAAATTGGCTGCATGCATCGTCCAGATGCAAAGACCCGGGGTCCTCCTTCATTTCTAAAAAAAAAATACCAACTCACAAGTGTTCTGAGATGCACCATCGGTAAATATACGTTAAATTAGTATTGCAGCTACCAAAGGCATTCTAACTTATTAATGTGTTTTTCTTCAGTGGTTATATGTCACAGATGTTGATACGGCCAGAGAGGAGGTATTAGAATGTCTTCCGCGCATGGGCAAGATCAACTATGTTGATGGTTGGTACGGATTTGGAGCATCCGCCATTCTTAGATCCATAGCAGAAGTGCTTCCATATAGGAAAACCACTCCAGAATTATGCTTTGACAGCGTAATATTTATAGATTGCTCAAACTGGAAAAATAGAAGAATGATGCAGAGGACAATTGCAGAGGAACTAGAACTTGATCGCTCTCTAATGTCCATTCTGGACGAGCATGATGAAGATGATGATTATAGTAGAGTTGATGAAAGCTCGAGGAATGAGGTCGACAGTGTTGGGAAAGTGATTGATCAAACCCTGAGGGACATCAAATTTATGATGATTTTTCTTAATGGAAGTGATGGATATATTGACGTAGGCCTCCTTGGCATCCCTCCATTTGCAAGATTTGGCCACAATATGATGATATGGACCTTCAATAGGAGCTTGACCATGCGTCAAGACTATCATGAGGTAGTAAACAAGCTAAGATATACTCATGGTTTCATTAATTCTTGTTTCTATATCAAAAGATTAAAAAGATATCAGATCTGGGAACTGCTGCATCAAGAAGCTGCTTCAATAGTTGCTCGAATTCCATGTATGCTAGATTTCAACCAGAAAATGGTCGAAAATTGTTGCCTCTATGAATTATTTCTGAAACACAATTTCCACATCACCAGTAAACTTGATTGGGCTACTCACGGTTCCAGCTATTGGATATGTGATGGGATTATTACAAGAGGACATAGCAAGAGATAACATTATCTCATTGCATCGACAGATAAATTGGAATTGTGAAGCTCATTTCCTTGAAAAGGTCATTGAAAGGTTCATGGGACATCCAGAACTACCTTTTCTGGTAATTAAAGATGGTGATGTCTATGAAGAAGGCACATACCGTTGGATTTCAATCAAATCAAGGAATACAAAAATACATGGCATGCAAACTATACCTACAATGACAACATCTTTCTTCTTGGCATTTGAAAGATCCGACCAACCACAAACATTACCAAATGGCATGTTTGAACATTGCAGCAAGCTTGGTGTGCTAGTTCTCTATTGTTGTGCCTTCAGTTTTGCATCACCTCCTTTCTTGAAGTGTTGTGGACTAAGATTCCTTGGACTGGACCACTGCACTGATGAGAAAGCAACTGAAGGAGAGGATGATGCAGAGTGGCTATGTTTGTCTAGTCTATGGGTTCTGGACGTACGTTACACAAACTGGAATGGAATTTTTTGTGCAGAAAAGATGGACATCATGACTAACATCAGAGAACTAAATATAGAGGGAGAAATGGGTTGGCAGTACATAGCTTGCCTACAGCGGCGGCTACCTAACCTCGAGAGGCTCCGGATAATCAAGCCAACATGTAAATGGGTGATATCAGAGGCTGTTGATAACTACTTCGTAGATAAGAAAAGTATGAAAATACTTGATTTGTCAGGGAACAGTGACATGAAAAGTCTTCCAACAAGCCTATCAAAAGCTAGCAGCCTTCAGATGCTTGTACTTGATGGCTGTGATGAACTGGAAAGCATTGGTGGGCTACCTCCCTCTCTCGAATCGGTTAGCTTTAACGGATATGGGCCAGCTTCTCAATGGACACAAACTGTTGAGCTACCTCCAAAACAATTTCTTCCATCCAGCAGAACAGATAATAAGGATGTCAGAATATCCAAGATCTCCTTAGCAGGCTGCACCCAGTTGGGGAATTTGTACTTGTGTTGGCTACCCAACCTGGTGGAATTGGACCTCTCTGGAACATCAATCAAGATACTTGACTTCAAGACTATGGTGGTGCAAATCCCAAGGCTCAAGCGGCTGTTTCTAAAGGATGCAAGCACCTTCGTGCAATAACCTTTTTGCACGAGAGTGTTCCTGACCTGGAGTTGATGTGCATAGACACGCGAGCTGGAGTCATGTGTCCTCGACCATTCATCAGAAAAAACAAACCCTCTGGGTTGCAGGTGCATGCTGTTATTGTGGATGTGAGGCTTGCTTGCTCCTTGATGAATCTGCCCCTTTATAAACAAGTTGTTCATTTCTATATCCACGTCACCTCCTCACCTGCGTATGATGGGGTTGGCTAGTTTGAATCAACCAATAAGGATAAGATAGGCCCAAGTGATCAAGAGGGCCCACAACTTATTCCAGCAGGCCGGTACAGTGACGTACTTGGCATGGTTAGCGCTGCCCCGACCCCAATGCTAGCCTTTCCAAAAACTAAAACTAAAATTTCCAAGCGACATGTAGAGATTTCCGAGGGGAGCTTCTACTTGCAGAGAGAACTAGAAAATGGTAATGCACTAGGCAGACTGATAGAAGATTATGCGCAATCCTTGCACGTGCATGATGTCTCAGTACGTGTTATTCTGCCTGCAACCTATGAGTGGAGCCTTAGGTGGTGCCGCCTGGAAAGGTGCCTGAAATTGGATATCGGTACCTTCACAAATACCTATGAAATTTGGAAATTGGAGACCTTCTGGGCGTCGGAGCTCCTAATGACACGCTGGATTTGGAGTGAAAGTTCAGCCATCTTGCTCTACTTCAAGAATCTATGCCACCTACACCTACTTCAAGACTTCACCTACGCCCGTCCACTCGCGCTACTACAAGAAGAAACTACCCAGGGTCTCCGTCCTCAGGTACGTACTACTAGGTGAACTATTAGTCTTTCTACTTATCTTGTATTAGTTTTGCTACTTATCTTGTCTCCAAGCATCCAGTTATTAACCATTTTCTATCTCGGTGTCTCTGCACCGCTGCCTAGGTGAAGTCTGCACCGCTGCTGCTGTTAGTGCTCTGGAGTTCAAACTTGCCAATGACAACGAGGGAAGCTCCTCCTCCTGTGTTTGGTTTGCTATTGTGTTCTTGCTTGGACTGCTATTTTGTGTTGTGTTGCCAATATATGCCTCAGGCGCGAGAGCCTGTCAAATAAGAGACGGACGGGTTTGTGTTGTGCCTGCATAGTGCATACACAGACCTCGCCGATGCGTTTGTATATATGTGGTTTGCGGTTGCAGCGTCGACCACTGATGTGTGTGGATTTGATGAGTGCTTGGTTGCTATGTGTGCGGAATTGTATTTGCTGCCTGCCTATGTGTGCCTGCGTGCATATACATGGCTAGCTGCTCACGAGTGTGACTTCTTTGAGTGTGTTTGCCATGTACTATCTGAACCAAGAAGCAGCTCGGCTGGTTGTTTATGCCTACATGCATCAATCGACCTCTGCTGCCTCTTGCTTTGTTTGTGATGATTTTGAAGAAAAAAACAGCAGCTAAGCCTAAGCTATAAATTTGTGATGGTTGTTGTATTTACCAGTCTCTGTGTGTGAATGATATTGATTGAGCCCCTTGTGAAGTCTGTGGCACGATATTTGTATTTTGAATGTATAGTCTGGAATTATTACTGTTTGCTCTCTTGCTTGACATAGCAGTTTGGGGGTGTTATTTTACTAATGAAGATGACAGTGATCACAGGTTACCAATGCATTAACTAACTGTCAAAATCTAACAAACAAACTTTGAACCCTGCGAGTGCAATAAGTTCAATAGAAACTTCTGGTAATCTGCTACAAACTCTGAAACTCATTTCAGGTTTCAACAGTTTGCTCGTTATTTGATTTTGGTGTCTTCCATGCATATGTGTATCTAAACCAAGAAACGGCTGGTTGGATGTGTTGCGCATCCACCCTTCCTGAACTTGTGGTTTGTTTGTTACTAATGTGCTTTTGGGATCAAAGCAAATGATGTATGACAGAAGCAGCTATTGTCTTCGAATCATCGGTTGAGTGCATCATGAAATCTGTTAACAGATTCATGTGTTCAGAAACTCTCAGCCTGAACTGATGTTTGTTTTCCGACACAGATTACAGATTACCGCTGCATACACCACATGTCTAAATCTACTCTACAGGCTCAGAATCCAGCAAGTGCTATTCCAGAAAGCTTCTGATTGCTAATGCTATTAATGTAACCGAGAGTGACACAGCAGGTATCTGGTGTTAAAAAAAACAATTTAGTACCAATAAGGCTACAATTTTCTAGCAAGAGATCACTCTGATGTCTGAACTCTGAACATATGCCATGTTCTAACAGTTTGCTGCAGAGGTGTTTTGCTCGGTGTACGTCCAGATGGTTATCGAGGAAATAACAACAGCTTACTCCTTTTTTTCCGCTGGATTTAAAGTGTCCAGAAGTAGTGGATTCTTGAAGCTTCATTAAGACCCTTTGGAATTGTTGAATGAATTAGAAGTAACCTTTGCTTTCATACTTCAGAACTAATAATGAGTATTTTCAGATGTTCAGCAATACCCAGACTGAATTTTATTATAGGGCCAAGTTCAAGCTTTGATTGTAAATCTCTTCTTTAATGATTCTGAATAGTTAGAAAATCAAAATCGGAAGGAAATGCTTTTTAATAATAGTATAATGTTTAAAAGTTGTTGTTCAAAGACTGAACTTGAACAGTCAAAATACATGTTCAAAATTTTAGACTGACGGGGTTCTGCTCAACTTAGGAAGTTAGGGGACATGGACACTTGGACAGTCAAAGTAGACATTGCTGTACACAAGTTATCTCTAGCAGCACAAAACACCATGGAAATCGGTAGTGCTGGAAAAGCAAAAAAAAAATCAAGCTTGTAAGAGCAGCTGCATCTCAATCATCTCTGCAAAAGAAATAGGAAAAGAAAAAGAAAAAGAACATATGTTGCTTCATGCTTTGGCAAAGAGAAAGTAAGCCAGAAGAAAAAGCAACCCAGGCAGTATGGACGAGGTATAAAGAAACGCATTTTGCACCCTTTAGTTGCAAGCAGACAAGAGAGGAGGAGCCAATTTGCTTTGTTTCACGGTCTTTGAATCATCGGTTGAGCTGATCATGAAATCTGTTAAGCGATTCATGTGTTCAGAAACTCTTAACCTGAACTGATGTTTGTTTTCTGATACAGATTACAGATTACCGATGCATACACCACATGTCTAAATCTACAGGCTCAGAATCCAGCAAGTGCTATTTCAGAAAGCTTCTGATTGCTAATGCTATTAATGTAACCGAGAGTGACACAACAGGTATTTAGTGCCATGAAAAAACAATTTAGTACCAATAAGGCAACAATTTGCTAGCAAGAGATCAGTCTGAACTCTGAACATATGTGCCATGTTCTAACAGTGTTTTGCTCAGTGTATGAGCGTTGTTGGCATCACGCCCTCCACGGATGTATTTCACGACGTTCTTGAACTGAAACTTACCGAGCTTATATGTTTAATGGTAAGCTAATTCCGCTGTTAATATGAATGAATATATTCATATTTCTTAATGTGGCAGGGTATAAGGATGTTCATGCGCACGGTGTCAAGACGTGTCTTTGAGGAGCTCAAGAGATCATGACTTTTGGTGCGTAGCCCATGTACATTCATCACTGTTCTGTTAGATAAATATGAATGTCTAGATGGTTATCGAGGAAATAACAATAACTTCCTCCTTATTTTTTGCGGCTGGATTTGAGGTGTCCAGAAATAGTGGATTCTCGAAGCATGTATTGATACTCTTTGGAATTGTTGGGTGACTTAAAAATAACCTTTGCTTTCATACTACAGAACTAATAATTCAGCAAAACCCTGACTGAATTTTATTATAGGGCAAAGTTCAAGCTCTGATTGTAAATCTCTTCTTCTTTCATGCTTCTGAATAAGTTACAAAATCAAAATTAGAAGAAAATAATTTTTAACAATAATAATAATGTTTTAATATTGCT